CTTAATAGCTTAAGTCTTTAATCCTAAGGATATTATATAATCTCTTATCCTTTTTTAAGCACTAGTGTATTAAACCCTAGTTTATTTTATTTAGCCCTATATATATATTATAGTGTTTATAATACCTACCCCTCATCTATAGTACTTTAGTGTATTTATAATAAGTATAGCCTTCTAACTAACTATTATGAGAGTTTAGACTATAGTCTAGCTAGAGTGATAGTCTAATGGCCTAAGGCCTAGACTTAAGAGGAAGAGCTTCCCCTTATATATAGTAGCCACTTTATAGTACCCTCCCTAGTCTCTCCTTACTATAAGAGATTTAATTTAACTTTATATTAATACTTACTCGTAGTAGCTGTAGGGCTAGCCCTTAATAACTATACACTATTCTAGGCCTACTAGTATATTACTAAAGCCTTTACTAGCTAGTGATAGCTATAGAGATAATAACTAAGGCTAAAAGAGGCTATATACACTATTACTAAGTACTGGCGACCGAGATGCGAGAAAATTGCCCAAGCAGCGTAAACTGCTAGTAAAACCATCTGTACCATTTCCTTTGTTACGTGGAAACACGCGCCAAACAAGCCTCACGCCACACCAAAGCTGTGACACAGCACAGGTAGCTCTGAGCTGACGGAAGCCGCCTACAGCAAAAACCTTCCAATTGAGAAGAAGCAGTTCTATCTTGATTGGCGCGCAGCTGCTGCTATAGGAGGAGGTTCGGGCCATGAAGTTGCTACGAAAAGCCCCTGGTGAGAACGTGGGCGTGCCTCCGGGTGCGTGCGCCCCGCCACGCTAAACATAGCGGTGGCACGATCATCCGTAGAGCATAGCTAGCACGTCTCTTTGCTTACCCAGAGCTACACCATATAGACGTTAAATAATCAATCAATCAATCAATATAACAAATATTCACTTGGAGAACCCGGCAAAAAGCTAGCCAATTAAAAAAAAAAGATTAGTATTATTCTTTAAATACCAATTATTATTTATTCAACGCGGTGATATGTGTTCCTGTGCAGATGCCAATTCTTCACACACTCTTCAGCCTGTTGTAAAACGTTCCAAGAGTCTGGCCTCGACAACCAAATCTCTAAACAAGCCACCCTTCTCCACCAACGCCTGTGGTGTGTCAAATTCCACTGCTCGGCCCTGTTCCAGCACGACGATGTAATCATAATCCACAATCGTGTTAATTCTATGCGCAATCGTCAAGATCGTCTTGTTCTGAAAGATTTTCCCACGCAGCGTTTCCTGCACAATAGCATCAGTACGATGGTCGACAGCCGAAGTGGCTTCATCCAGCACCAGCACACGGGCAGAACTAAGTAAAACGCGCGCCAGACTGATGAGTTGACGTTGGCCCTGACTGAGATTTGAGCCGCGTTCGTGCAGCGTGGCGTGGATCCCGCCTTCCATGCTCTCGACATGGGCTTTCAGCTGTGCTTGCGCAAGAGCAGACCACAGCTCTTCATCTGTATACACAGAGGCTGGATCGAGGTTATCTCGCACAGTACCTGCGAAGATGGCCGGGTCCTGAAGGATGATGCTCAGTCTGGGACGAAGGTCGTTCAGGCCAATACAGGTGGTGTCGACGTTGTCAATGGCGATAACGCCCTCGGCAGGCTCGATGATGCGGAAGAGCGCAAGAGCGAGAGTTGATTTTCCTGCGCCGGTACGGCCGACGATACCGACGCGAGCACCTGCTGGGATGGACAGATTGAGGTCTTCCAGGACAAACGGAAGACCGGGACGGTATCGTGTCGAGTAGTGCTGGAATTCGATAGCGCCAGCCGTGGGCCAAGAGGGCAGTGGAGCAGTAGAGGGACTGCTTTCTCGAGGCGCCTCGGCGGGGATCGCTGTGTATTCAAGGACGCGTTCGACAGCGACGAGGCTGTTTTCAACCTGAGAAGAGGTTTTGACTGTGTACATGAGAGCGGTGGTGATATTAAGTGCATAGGAAAGCGCAAGCCCGACAGCGCCAGGGTCGACCGGGTAGCCTGCAGCCATGGCAGCAACGGCGCAGGCAGCGACGCCTCCGACGATGACGCTGCCGAGAAATTCGACGCGAAGTGAGATCCATCGGTTGGAGTAGAAAAAGAGGAAATATGCCTGGAGGTTATTATCGATACGAGTCTTGGTTTCCTTTTCAAAAATGTCTTGTTTACGATAGGCGAGGATGGTGTTTACGCCACCTA